TGGCATACCTACCTGTAGATTTTCGATCATCAACACAACCTGCCCAATCAGCATCAAAAAATGCTTGCAGACAAGAAGGAGAAGAGGATTTAATCATAATGCCAAAATTGCAGCCGTCTAGGCACGAGAGACTTGTGGGAGAAGACGGGGCTCGAATCGGGTTCCCGGTTTGGGGGTTAGAGTCGGATTTCACTTTAGGCAAACTACTTCTTTAAGAAACTTGAATTTGAGGCGTTAACGCCCCAAAATCACCAAATGGCGTCGGTTTAGCACGAAACTTGGCACACACGACCGCCTAGGCACGAGAGACTTGTGGGAGAAGACGGGGCTCGAATCGGGTTCCCGGTTTGGGAGTTAGAGCCGGATTTCGGTTTGTCAAAATTATTTACTAAACTATCTTTCTAATTATATAGTAATCAATTTTTTTTTTTTTTTTTCTATAATTAAAATATTAACACATTATATGGTTTTTAATTATTTTTATCTTGTTTTTTTCAGATATTTTCTGAGTAGCAGTTGGCTTTTTTCTGGAATGCGGGTGTATCAAGATTATGACTAATTTTTGTTTTTGTAACCCACGAACGAATGAAGACGAAAACTTTTGATTTTGATTTTGATTTATGTTATTTAAATTTGGGAGCAACATTATGTATGTATTATGCGACGTTATTGTTCTGAATTTTTATTTCTGTATTGCTATGAATTGAACAATATTATTAATTTTCATTATTTGTCAATTTTTGTTTATGTACGTATTTATATTATTCTGTAATTTTTCATTTTTTTATACTTATTTTTTATCTAATACAGGTTATTTTAATTTTTTTATTAATTTATCAACAGGGTTTTTTATTTTTTTTTTATTTTTTGAGACGGGAGAAGAACCCGTCGCAAAAACCAGTAATAGGCTTTTGCGACGGTACCAACACAGTCGCAAAAGCTGCCTTATTGAATGTACAGGACACCTTTAGCGACGGTAAACCATGCCGTCGCCAATACTTATATGATGCCAGAGCCTTTAACGACGGTAATTTTCCCGTCTCAAAAAATCACTTTTAGCGACGGGAATTACGTGCCGTCGCGAAAAGTGATTTTTCCACCATTATTTGCGACGGGAAAAATGGCGTCGCAAAAAACTTGGCATACCGTCGCAGAAACTAATGGCGACGGTACATACCGTCGCCAAAGGTCTTTTGCAACCCCGTCTGTTGCGACCCCCCCTTACCGTCGCAAAAAGCCAAATTACCGTCGCAAAAGACATTAGCGACGGGCTTCTGGGCATTTGCGACGGCCGTTTACCGTCGCAAAAAACAAGTTTTTTTGTAGTGGTAATGTAATCTAAGAGTTGTATGTGCTGTATTACTGATATAAAAACTGCAAGAATTGCCTATAAGTCTAGTCCAAATGTGAAATCTTAGAGTGTAACAGTTCTCTTCAATATCAAGTCTCACAAATCATTGAAATTTCAAAGCAAATATTCAACTGTCAGCTCTCAATGTAGTAACCAAAAAGTTATGAACAAGAATACAAATCCAAATTTACATTTTACCATTATTATTAATTAATAATAGAAGAGAAGAAAAACCTTTATTAGCAGAACAAGAGTACAAATTCACTATTTACATTTTACAATTAATAATAGAAGAGAAGAAAAACTTTGAAATTAGCAGACAACTAAAAACTTCAAATTTTTTATCATTGTAGATTAAATTACAAAAATAACATAAACAATATTTAAACATTCCACAAATGACAAAATGATGAGTGAGTGATGGGAAGAGACGAAAAATAAGCCACTTTAAAAAACAGGAGCAAAGTACGATAATAGTTCTCGTATTTTGATTTTTGTGTCATTTTTGTCCCTATAATTTCAATTAATTCGATTGACTCTAAATTTATGTTTTTGTCTCAATTTGCTCCAATTAATTAGAACTCATAGTATTTTTTATTTTTTAAATGCATATAAATGGCATGTGTTGGATTTTTTTCAAGTAATATTATAAATTTACTAAATTTAATGAGTTAAACTCAACCAATTCAGTAATTATTTTTCGTCCAAAATAGTAACGGCATTATCAAAATTGGACCAAAATGACATAAAATTTAAAATTAAAGATCAAAATTGAACCAATTAAAAGTGAAGAGACCAAAATAACACAAGAAACAAAATATCTAAACTACCAATGTAATTTATCCAAAAAAACATATAAAATCTTCCTCGTCCCTTTCTTACTACCTCTAGCTTCTTTTTTTTGTGGTTGAAGCCCAAAAGCCAAGTCAAACGCCCAACAACTTTTTTTCAAGTTATAATCCAAAAAATGAACTTATAAGCTCAACGGGTTCAAAGCCCTGTTTGGTAGAGCTTAAAATCAGCTTATTTTAACTTTTAGCTTAAATTAAGTAGTTTTTGAATGTTTGGTTTAGCTTAAGTGATCAACTTTTAGCTTAAAATAAGTCAAAAAAGTGATTATTTTTTGAGTGGGTGAGGAGGTGCTTTTTTGAAGCAGCTTAAGCGGGAAGCTAGAATTGAGGGGCAAAATCACTTAAATGCCCCTCATTAATCTCAAATATTACCAAATGCCCACTATATAAACAACAATGAAAACACTATTCACTCCTCTCAAAGAGTGATTGGCGATTTCCGGCGTGTGGAGGCGATTTCTGACGTTGTGCTCTCTCTCTCTCTCTCTCTTGATGAAGATCTGGGTTGGTCGTCGATGAAGATGAAGATCTGCAATCTCACTCTCTCTCTCTCTGCGCATGGTTGGGTTGATAGGGTTTGGAAGCACGATGGTGACGGGGACGACGACACGACAAGATCTGGGTTGCTCGTTGATGAAAATGAAGATCTGCCGTCGTCTTTCTCTCTCTCTGTGTCTATTTCTCACGAACCAGTTCCCATCTCCGACGTTGTTTAGGCGGGTGAACGGTGACGAGCGACGACACTCTCTCTGCCATTTCAGATCGCGGCGGTGGCTAGGGTTGTAGACCACCGGCGACGTACGGATGGTTCAGGAAGGAAGAGAAGAAAAAATAAACAAATAAATTAATTAATTAAACAAAAATAATAATTAAAAACAAAATAACAAAAATAATAATTAAAAACAATTGTTCTAAAAAAATATAAATTTATTTCAATTAAATAACTTCTCTGGTATTGTAATAATAATATATAAAAATTAAAAAAAAAAACAATTGTTCTAGTTGATATTAATGAAAACAATTGTTCTAGGGTTTTGTAATGAATTTTTTTAAAAAAAAAATGAAATATCACTTAAAAAAATGATATAAATTGAAAAAAATGAAAGGATTTGTCAAATGAAAAAATGAATTACTAAAAATGAAAAACTGAAATATCAATAAAAAAAACATTTCAATTAATATTGAAATAAATTGTGCAATTTATATCCATTAAATAAATTACACAATTTATTTTACAATTTAATTGTAATGAAAAAAATTTAATAAAAACGGAATCACAACTAAAAAAATTTAATAGTGTATATTTTTGTAATGAATTAATTATTAATTGATACTAATTAATAACAATTGTTGATTATTAATATTAATGGATACTAATTAATAATTTTAATATTAATTCAGACTAATTAAGCCATTAATTGATACTAAATTGATACTGATTAAGCAATTAATTGATACTAATTAATTTATAATGGAAAAAAATTGTTACAATAATACTTCCATTACATTTTTATTAAGTGTATCAATTTTTATATTAGTTGATACTAATTAATACTAATTATATTAACTTTTATTAATGAAATAACTTTTTAAATTAAAATTGAAAAAAAATGACAAAATTATCATTTTTATATCATATAAGAGCAAAAAGGTTAACTATACAAAAAAGGAAAATTAAAAAAAAAAAAAAAAAAAAACTATTTTACAGCTTATCAACCAAATACTACTCTGTTGCTTAAATTCATAATCCAAACAGGCCCACATCTAGCACTACTAGTGAAAATAATGAAAATATCAGGAAATGAGAATACTTCTAGTATGTATGCTCTATTGTGTTGACATGTATATTTTTCATACTTTTTTCTATATTCTTCCATACTTTTTTGTAATTTAATTATGTGATTTACTCCAACAAAGAGAATTAGAACAGGTTTAATGACTAGAGAAAATCAATCATTCCAAGCTTCAATCAAATAAATCACACTGCCCCTCGGTGAAACTATACACAGTCTAACTCTGATGAAAAATGTTTGGTGGCCACAAATTATGTGGCTCAAATGACCGGAAAATGTCAAAACGACGTCATTTTTACTCAAAACGACGTCGTTTTGAGTGTTTCGAGTCATTCGGGCCAAGTATTTTCGGGCCACCAACCATTGCCGAACCCTGATTTGTGTCAATCATCAAACAAAAGAAAGGTTGTCCTATTTTTTCCTTCATAATGTTTTCATTGTTCTTTGATCTCATGGTAGTGTGAGATTTGTACAAAAATATTAATGTTTTCACAGTTCTTTTGATCTCATGATAGGGTGAGATTTGTACAAAAATATTGATGTTTTCATCATTCTTTTGATCTCATGGTAGTGTGAGATTTGTACAAAAATATTAATGTTTTCATTGTTCTTTTGATTTCATGGTAGTGTGTGTTTTGGTCACTAAAATTATGTATTGAGAACTCCAAACAATGAAATATTCTAGAATAAAAACTAGGCCACCCAAATTTAAAAACTAGGAATTTCTTAAGACCAGGCAACCCAAATTTTTTAAGACCACAGCATGATTTGACGGAATTCCTATGGTGCTTCTAGGAATTTTTATATCAACCAAAGATGGTTCTTGCTTTGTAACGTGTTTTAGACCACATTGTTTTCTTCTAAAAGGAAAAGAAAAAAAAATGGCATGGCAACACTAGCTCCAAAAATAAAATTAGGGGGACAAAAAGCAAGCTGTAATTAAATCAAATTGATTCATATAACTTGGGTTGAGTTACTTCCACACATCAAAGAAGATAAAAACCATTCACAAACACAACAAAATATTGATTAGCAATTTCATTTAAAAAAAAAAAAAACCATTAAACATAACAAACCCAGTACCTACTCATGTTTAAGCATAGTAACTCCAAACAAACAGTAAATCAAAACATTGTGACACAAATTCAATCTTCAGATGTTCGCAGCAGCACATAAACCCAAAAAAAAACATCGAGCTAACCTAATAGCCACCCTTGAGATCGTTGACCACATCGTAGGGTATAGGCGTGACTGTCTCCAAGGTAGCACCTTCAACCATGAAACCCGGTTTAGGACCTTCCGGCTGCCTCTTTGTGCTGATGACTTCGCCTCTTGCCTTGGCCTCTGCCTTCAACTGATCATTCTTCTTTTTCCTCAGTTTGAAGTCCTCAGTACACCTTGATGGCTGGACATGTTCTATGCGCACATGGATCCTCTTCCTAATAATCCTGTGCCCTACCTGCATTTATGTACATACTATAATTTGATTATGTTCCATTTCATCAAAAAAATATAGTAATAATAAGAACAGAAGAGCACTTCCAAATAAATTAATTTAGAATAGCTCTGTCACAATAGAAGGTTAACAAGGAACAATTGAAAAGTCCCAAACTCTGTAAATGAAACTATGTTAGGATTTTGGATTTGTGAGACAAATACTCCCACAAATCCAAGAACCAAAACAGCCTGACAAGAGGATGCATCAAACACATCACACCTCCATATCAAACACAAAATAACCCATCTAACAAAACTGCATTTACATACAAAGACAAACCCAATCAACTACATCACTAAAAAACCAAACGTTTTTAATCAAATGACCCAATAGACGCTTTTTTCTGATATAAATGCACAAAACTAAGGGAAACCTAGATGGCCTTTTCAACATAAGCAAATCATAGAACACAAATTAATATACCCAATTAACTATATCACCTAAAAACCAAACAATCTTAATCAAATGACCCCAAAAGACACTTTTACTCCACCATTTCCACACAAACAAATCATGGAACATCTTCAGAGAACACACAAACACAATACCCAATTAACTACATTGCCTAAAAACCGAACATTCTTAATCAAATAACAGAAAGGGAAATGTATTCTTAATCAGACAAAAAAAGACGCTTGTTTTTCTGATATAAATACACAAACTAGGAAAAACCCAGATGATTACTCCACGATTTCAAGACAAGTAAATCATCAAACACCTTCAGAACATAAACACACAAAAAGACGATTGTTTTTTCTGATATAAAATACACAAACTAAAGAAAACCCAGATGACTAATCCACCATTTCAACACAAGCAAATCATCAAAAATACACAAACTTGATCATCAAACACCTTCAAAGCAAACACAGATTTACAAAATCCAATACATAAACACATTTAAGCGCATATATAAGTGGGAAGGATTAGAGAAGAGGGTTTTTGAACCTGCTTGTTCATTTCGACACCGATGGCGCGCTTGGTGACGTTCCAGACCTGACCAGTGCGGCCATGGTAGAACTTGTGGGGCATGCCCTTGTGAACAGCGCCATTCACTTTGATGTCGACATACTCACCGATGTGGTAAGTGCGGAGGTATGTTGACAGATTGATTGTGCCCTTCTTCCGGAAACCTCGAGAGAACAGATCCCTCGTCCTTGACCTCAATCCATGTCCAGCCGGCATCTTCTTTCTCTCTCTCTAAATCTCCAGACTCTGTAAAGAGGATGAGCGGCGTTTAGGGTTTTGTATATGTATATAGCCTACAGGGATGTGGCTTGTGACCTGAAACAGGGCCGGGTCGGGTCGGATCTGTTAGGGCTCGGCCCAGGAATAGAATAATCTAAAATACAAATCTAATCTATATATCTGTCCAATCCGAGAACAAACCCAACTTCTATGCCAAAGATTTTTTGACTAAAAAAAAATCAAAAAGTCATAAATTTAACTCTATTAATCGAATCATATATTAATCAATCACTTTTTTATTATAATTATTTATTCAATTAAAAAATCATTTTATACACATTAATGTTTTAGGATAAATTATAATTTAACCTCTTGTGATTTGACAAAAAATACAAAATCTGCTTATAATTTCATTCATAACACTTAAACTTTATGAACTTTATATTACAGTGTAATTTCAAACAGAACAAAGCGTGTATTGTACGACCATAAAGGATCAAGTGCAACTATTTTTCCCGCTAAAAATAATATGACACTTGACCAAAACACACTATATTTCTTATTATATTGCTATTTATACACAAGCCCAAACTACATTGAACCCTAAACCTAAATTTGCCTAAAGACTCTGGTTTCCTACCTAAATTTTTTAAATTTTTCGAAAGTTTAAGATTGCGTTTGATAGAGTTTTAAAAATATGATTTGACAATAGAGTTATATTTTGAATTTGTGAATTTTGAAAGGAAATGGCTTTTCTCTAGTTTTTCATCAGACTAGAGGGGACTGTTGGGCCCGTGAGGGCCCACCACGGGTCCCATTTCGATAACCCGAACCGTTCAATGTGTAAAACTCGTCGAATACTATGTGTTTTTTAAAAATTACGTTGATCGGATATCGATAACTATGTCATTAAATTAGTTGTTTGATTTGATCACATAGTTATCAATATCCGATTAACGTGATTTTTTACGGGCATATCATACTCGACAAGTTCTACATATTGACGGTTCAGATTATCGAACAGAACCCATGGTGGGCCCCTATGGGCCCAACAGTACCCTCTTGTCCAATGAAACCTTGGAGGGAAGCCATTTTTGTTTTGAAATTATGATTTGAGTGTAGAAAATTTGTTTGGTTATGATTTTTGAATAGAGTGTTGAATTGAGTTTTGAGTTGAGTGTTAAATTGAATTTTAAAAGTTTAATGTGACATGTGAAATAAGAAAATTTGTTTGGTTATGGGTTTTGAAAAGAGTTTTCAAAACTTAATTCAAAAGCCTATAATTCATAATCAAACACACAATTCAAAACTCTATTTAAATTTCTGATCAACCGTCATAACCAAACTCTTTTTAAAATTCAATTTAAAAAATTAATTATTAACAAACAATAACACTATTAACCAAACTCTTTTTAAAATTCAATTTTAAAAATTATTGATTAACAAAAAATAGCAGTCATAATCAAAACAAATTCAAATTCAACTAAAAAAATTAATTAGTAACAAAAATTTTCAATTGAAAATTTTATAAACAAAATAATTTGAAGGTCACAATAAATATTCAATTACTGATCATACCAAACTTATGATTGTATATTTGGTTCGAATATATTTTTTTCAATATTTTTCAGTTACAATTTTTTTATATTTGCAATAATTACTGTCACCAATCATTTGCTAATTATTATATTGTTATTTTCAAATAAATAGCCACAAAATTTATCAATATTATATATATTGGGAGTCAAACAAAAATTAGAATATTATTTGATTAGTATTTATACAGTTTACCACACATAATTCAATATTATTGGAATTTTTTCATTTTCTAATTTTCATCATTTTCAATTCAAACCCGTGAACCTCTATACCGTCCTCATTTATATTATTGTGCCTGACGGGATGATTGATGTGTTTGGCATTGAAATGACTAAATTGCCCCTATATGTTTCAAGGCTAAGTTAACCTATTAGTCAAAAATTAAAAGGGCAAAATCGTGATTTCACATACGTTCTGCAGGCTTATGAATCTTCTGCCAAATCTCAGTTGGTCAATTTCTGATAAAAAATAAAAAATAAAGAAAGAACAAAACTCAGCTACAGATCTTTTTGGCCATTTGTTTGACTGAGGCATCAATGGCGTCATAGTCTGACTTCCCAAACATGGCCTTTATATCAGTGAGCACGCCCAAGAACTTCATTACTTCAATACAACCAGCAACTTCTTCACTATCTTCATTTACCTTCATCATTGAATAGTTTCAATACAACCACAACTATAACCTTAAACATACAACCACCTCCTCCACCACCTACCTCAATTAATTTTACAAATTTAGCCTGCCATCTACCTCAATTAATTTCAGCAATTCAGTCTATATATTTACAAATATTGATCGTGCAAAACAAGAGAAGAGAGGAAGCTTTCATCAATTTTAGAGCTTCACAACAACACTCAAAGCCAAATTCGGTCCACCACCTTCTGTAATTAATTTTACAAATTCAATCTATATATTTACAACTCATATCTGTGTAAAAAAAGAAGAGAGGAAGAGTTTAATCAATTTCAGAGCTTCACAACACCAAAGTTTCACAATTTTAGAGCTTCACAACAGCAGCAGCCGAAAGCTGCACATAACCGGTCGACTGGGGTGTGGACGTCCCTGAACGTCGCGGGAGGATGAATCCCATTCTGTTCATTGGGCTCACCACAGTTCGGACTCAAATTGTCACGATTCTAAACCTGAACCAAATAGTCCAAATCCGGCAAATCGTTTTTGAAAACAGATTTTTTGAAAGAAGTACCAAAGATCAAAGATCGACCTCTACTAACCATGATATCGAGTTTTGAAAACATTATGCGTTCTTATTCCGATTATTAGCCTAGATTTACTATGTGATGCGTACAACACAAAAGTATAGACTAGATCGCCTAATTTGGAACAAAGCATTGCATATCCGCCCATTTGAAAGACAATTTGAAATTTGCTACTCGCAAGTAGGCTAAAACACGGATTTCAACGAGTTGTTCCAACTCAAACAATCCAACCTTCACCCACAGGCATTCAGGCAGGTATATCACATAAGCATGTAGCTACATGGTAAGCATGCTGTCATGGCAACACTCACACTCATGCGAGATGCTAAAGTATAAATACTTACATCGCACTCCGCGCCAAAACAAAGAACTCGTTAGCAATCATGCATGATCCAAGTCCATGTTAAGTGCCTAATGTATCGCATACAGAATGCAGTCTAGAATAGGCTCTGCTAATCCTAGGACGGCATGTGAAATGCAACAGATAACACGTATTCAAGTTAGATTTGAAATACTATGCAGTTAGTATGATGCGCCGAGAACAGATAACACGTATTCAAGTTAGATTTGAAATACTATGCAGTTAGTATGATGCGTCAAGCCCGGTGCATGCAATACAGATGAATGATGCAAACATGCAAGCATAAGGTATGCTAATTGAAATATGCCCTAAATCTAACCATTGTAAGCGGCTAAATAAAAGGGAGAAAGAAATGGGGTTGGAAGACATGCATCACACGCACCCGCACTTATTACAAATTTGTCCTCACTTGGAGGGACTGAATAAATAAAACAAGCCACCTAATTAACTAACTCACAAGCTAATTAATTATCACAGAACCAAATTGAATAACTAGCTACAACTAATTATTACACAACTTAATTAATTAACGAATCAATTAACTAATTAATGAATGACAACAAGCAGGTAGGTAAAGCAGTAAACGGTGCTATTCCAGCTCTATTTGAAGAAGGGTGGCATGCATGCTCGCTTCGGTTCTTCGCCTCAAAACGCCTTCCGGTTGCTCTTTAGAGGCTCTGTTTGAAGGGTGTCTTCCAGTGCTTGTTGCTGGACCTTACCAAAACACTGCAGGGGAAGTCACCAGTGGCCTGCCGGCGATGGAAGGATCACTGCTGGCCAAAGGTGGTCCATTGCCGACCAAAGGTGGCACACTACCGGCCATCAGTGGCAGGCTACCGGCCACTGGTGTGCTGTGACACCAAACTGCAATGAAGCACAAAATAGAGGAAATGGAGGGTCTCCCAAAGACATGTATGCATCATGGCACTCCAAATCACCTCAAAACATCAAGGGAGAAGCCTAGTCGGATCCACGACCATCAATCACGCATCCCGATGCATGATGGCCAAAGATCCAACTTGTGCAAATCAATATGAAAATGAATGCACAAATAAAGCAAGTAAAGGCTAGAACTCTATCATGAATCATCAAGAGCTTCGGCGACCGAGAATTGAGACACGTTCCATCACTTGAAGCATGGAACGTCCCTCGTTCCTCGTGCTCAGATTAACACTTAATCCAAGCAATGCAATACATAAGCATGGCAAACATGCAACATGACCTAAATGTGCAAACATGCAACTAAACCAAGCATGCAACAAGCATATAAGCATGATGTGAGGTGATGACCTTGGACAACATGACAAAATGCAACATGAACATGTAAGCATGCAAGGTATGCAAAGCTAAACAAGTATGCGACAACATACGAAATGAAACAAGCATGCGACAACATGGTAAAATGGGTTTACACCAAAGATGGACGGCTCTCAACTTGGTCCAAATCAGTAGCCAAAGCGATGAATTAAGCCAAAGAACACACTCAAGCATGCGAAATGCGAAAGGTTCATCAAAGGGGCCTAAAAGGGCAACTCTCAAAAGTCCCTAAGAAGTGACAAATGTGCAAGTGTAACAACACTATATGCACTGAAATGAGATGATAAATGATGCCAAATCATTTAAATAGCTCAAGGATAGCATGGGTGAATCACCGAAACATGAAGCTTGCAAGGCCAATTACACTACAGCTATACGAAGCATGAAAGATATGGCAAAGGCAACCCAAAACAGTCCTAGTACATGTTGATATGAGGCTAAAACATGCAAGGAAGTAAGCCAAAGCAAGCTAGCATACAATGCTAAAACACAGGACATGCAAGGCTATGAAAGAGGCAATGCATTGCACCTATTAGAACCAATCATGGCA